AGCCCCAAAGATGTTGGGAGGATATTTTTGATGCGATTAGTAATGCCAAACATTTGATTTATATAACCGGGTGGTCCGTGTACACAAAAATCTTGTTGGTTCGCGATCCAAGTAGGCCGAAACCGGGTGGGGACGTCACGTTAGGTGAGTTACTGAAGAGAAAAGCCGAGGATGGGGTAAATGTATTGATGCTTGTTTGGGATGATAGAACTTCGGTTGAGGCTCTGAAAAAAGATGGATTAATGGCGACACATGATCAAGAAACGGGAGACTTTTTTCGCAACACTAAGGTTCATTGTGTTTTATGCCCTCGCGAACCCGATGACAAGAATAGTTATGTGCAAGGGATTCAAGTCGCGACCATGTTTACTCATCATCAGAAAACCATCATTGTAGATAGCGACATTCCTGGGGAAGCGTCGGGAATGAGGCGGATTGTAGGGTTTGTTGGCGGTATTGATCTTTGTGACGGTCGGTATGATTCTCGGAATCACTCATTATTTCGGACACTAAAAGACATACATCATGACGATTTCCACCAACCGAATTTTTCGGGAGCCTCGATTGCAAAAGGTGGGCCGAGGGAACCGTGGCATGACATACACTGCAAACTTGAAGGACCGATCGCGTGGGACGTGTTGTATAATTTCGAACAAAGATGGATTAAACAAATTGGAAGCCAATTTCTTTTTACATTACCTGAGCTTGACGAGTTCATAACTCACCCCGCCCCAATTCGTCCATCTGAAGACCAGTACACATGGAATGTCCAATTGTTCCGGTCGATCGACGATGGTGCGGTGTCAGGGTTCCCACAAAAACCCGAGGAAGCATCTATGGCGGGCCTAGTTACCGGTAAAGATAATGTGATTGATCGTAGCATTCAAGATGCGTATATTAACGCGATACGTCGTGCTAAAAACTTCATCTACATCGAAAACCAATATTTTTTGGGGAGCTCATATGGTTGGAAACCGAGCAATGAGTTCAAAATTGAGGACATCGGGGCTTTGCATCTCATACCAAAGGAGCTTTCACTTAAAATCATTAGTAAAATTAGGGCAAATGAGAGGTTTGCCGTGTACATAGTGATCCCAATGTGGCCTGAAGGGATTCCAGAAAGCGGATCTGTTCAGGCCATATTAGACTGGCAAAGAAGAACAATAGAAATGATGTATAAAGACATCGCCACCGAACTTCTAGCAAAAAATATTCAATCGGATCCTAGGGATTACTTGACATTCTTTTGCCTCGGCAACCGTGAGACGAAAAAGTTCGGCGAGTATGAACCGGTGGAGAAGCCCGAACCAGATTCCGATTATAGCAGAGCGCAAGAATCTCGACGGTTTATGATCTATGTTCATGCAAAAATGATGATCGGTAAGTACATTGTCTATTTCTCTGAGAAAAAAAATACGAATTCACTTTTATAACTTTTTTTTTCTTGTGATTTGATTAAAGTTGATGACGAATATATAATTATTGGTTCGGCTAACATCAATCAAAGATCAATGGACGGGGCTAGGGACACTGAGATTGCGATTGGTGGCTACCAACCGAATCAAATAGCCACACAGTGGCCAGCTAGGGGTGCGATCTATGGCTTTCGAATGGCATTGTGGTTAGAACATCTTTATTACATAGATGACTCGTTTCGCCATCCAGAAAGCTTGGAATGCATTCGGAAAGTAAATGGAATTGCGGATGAGAATTGGAATTTGTATTCCAGTCCAGAGATAGTTCAAGATCTTCCAGGCCATTTACTTCGGTATCCATTGGCTATCTCCGAAGTCGGAGATGTTACGGCTTTACCAGAGTTCGATTTCTTCCCGGACACCAAAGCACGTGTACTGGGGACGAGATCCGTGGGTCTTCCTCCTATTCTTACCACTTGAAGTGGCTCGGTGTAACAAAATATTTGCGATTTAAGGAATCTTAGATATGATTTATGATGAATTTGAACGTTTATCCTTTTAATTTGTGTACTTTTCATTACTAATCTATACTTCTTATCACCATAAGGCATTGTTATCACCAAATTTCCGCTATAAAGGCAGATAAAGTGGGAGATTACAGTGATTTAAGATTATATCTAAAAGTTCAAGTTGTTCAAACTGTTAGGCTGGAGGGAGTGGTTCCACCGAAACCGTCTTCCTCCCCCACCACGTAAGCGTCATGTCACTTTTTACCACCAAGTGTGGTTTCTTGCCACACCAAGGGTGTGATGCCACAGTTTTACTTTTTTTTTTTTTTTTTTTTTTGTTAACTATTTTAATTTAATAAAACTTATTTTTTTTAATAAAAAAACATAATTCTAAAAACATAATATTTCATTAATTAAAACTACAAATACCATACATTACTTAATTAAAAAAAAAACCTAAAAATTTAGAAAAACAAAGTAGAAACATAAAACCTACAACTTAAAAAAAACATACAAGAAACCATTAAAAACTTGAAAAAAAAAACTAAAAATTAGCCACGATTGATGTAACGGTTTTTCACTTCCTCCTTCATCACCAAAACCACTTCAAGCTCGGCCCTGGTCATATTCGACGTGTCCATCGCTAGTATTCGCATGTCGCTCTCCCTTTGTTTCCGAAGCTCTCTTTCAGAAGCAATTTTCAAAATCTTGTCCATTCTGTCTTTTATACCCTTCATGTCGGTTCCCATTTCTTTCAAATCATCTGAATCCGACGCTTTGTCTTTGCTTTTGCTTTTTGATTTGTCTCTTCCCAATGGTCGGGAAGGTGGTGAAAATGGAACAGGTTCATCTTCGTTCAGGTCAAATTGAACACGAGCATCTTATGCAATGTGGTCGGACTCAGATGTTCTGTTGCGTTTTGACCCACTGTCGATATGTTGGTCAGATGTTTTGCTACTCAGCCATTTCCTGTTATCTTTCAAAAAATTCCAAACTTCAAGAAACTTGAAAAGCCTTCAGATTTTCTTTTTGATACACTTTCAACGCTTTCTTCAAAATGACTTCATCGCTTTCTGCACTTTTCCATTGACGTTTCATGTTGTTCCACAAGTCATTAAACAACATGACTTCCTTGTTCATCTTCCCCCTTTTGGAGTACACTTGATGTTTTGAACGGTATTCTCCACGGTTCATTCCTTTATGGAACCTGTGTAAAACGCGAATCCAAAAGCGTTCATGCTTTTGGTCTTTTCCAACCGTCGCATCTTCTGAAATATCGATCCAAAATTGTGCCAACACTAACACTTCCAAAGGTTCCCAACATCTAGCATCCGCCTTCTCTTTTCTTTTAGTTGCTGCGCGAGTAGGATGAGTTTCTGTAACAAATTTCGGTTCAGAATCAGAAACGGCCGTTTCTGGTTTTGTTTGTGTTTGTTGAACAAACTCGGGTTGGGACAAAAAATCAAATGGATTAAAATCTGGTTCGGGTTGTGGTAGTGGTTGTGTTTGTGGATGTGGTTGCCCTGATCGTTGTGGAAAACAAGGAAACATACCGTCGTAGTGGTAATACGGAGGTGAGAAAATCGGTTGATCAAATGAAGGTATTGGGGTGTTGGCGTTTCTGAATGGTGTTTTTTCTTTGCTAGGTCTTTTGGAAGAAGACATTTTTTCAAAGAAAATTGGATGAAATGATTGTGTTTATATGTGTTGAAAGGTTGTGTAAATGTATATATATAGATGGAGTAAATGGGTAAAATAATAATAATTAATTACAAGAATCTTTGAGCGGTAAAAAAAAAAAAGGCACAACCATTCAGCACACGCGGTCTTCAATGGCCGCATTGCGGTCTCGACCGCAGCAAACCGCACCCTCGGGGCGGTGTTCGCGGCCCACGTGGCATCACCGCGGTTCCAAACCGCATACCACACCGAGCAGCCTTAGAGATCAAAGTTACATATTTTAGGCTCCTCTGACTTAGGGCTTTCTCTAACCCAAAATTTCCAGTTTTGTATATTCTCTGTGTAAAAATCTCCAAATCTCCAGTCCAACTCTAATTATTATTATCATATATGTTGATCGTGATTGAAGAGTATAATATAAAAGAAATTTGATTTGAACTTATTAATTTTTAGATGACAAAACTGTACAAATGGTCCTTGTGGTTTGTCAAAAATTGTCAATTTGTTTCAAAAAAGTTTGGACTAGCACCAGAGGTCCAAAATTTTCATTTTGTTGCTTGTTTGGTCCAATCTATTATGATTTTTTCAAAATGACGTATTTGCCCCTGTTAATATGATTTTTTCGTATTTTCTTAATTGTTTCTCTGATTTTTAAATTTTAAAAAAAAAATAAAAATTAAATTAAATCTCTCTCTCTCTCTATTTCTTTCTCTCTCCTCTCTCTTCTATCTCTTTCTTTGATCTTCCTTCTCATCACTCCTTTTTTCTTCGACTCCCAAATACCAATTGAACCACCGATTCCTATATCAGTCACAAACCGACGGTCGAACACCATGGCTCCGTTCAACCCTGCGGTCTGGAAATCAGACTGTCACTGTGCCCCGACACATGATTCTCCGGCTAGGTGCTGATGTGATTCGACACTGGCCCTACAACTTGAACGAATCTTCACCTACTATGTTGGGTACTAGGTTCACCAACTATCTACAACTAACTGTATACTTCGTCTATGTGCTGTTGTAGAAGATTGAGTTGATTTAGAGAGCCAATTAATGGAGGAATTGGACCGAAGACTAAGCTAGACATAAGGTCGAGTACCTGGAGTGCACCCGTCTTCTTCCTCATGAACATCATCATCTTCTTCCTCTCTTCATATTCCAACCAACACCACCGCCCATCTCTGCCTCCGTCGATAGCTGGGTGCTTTAGAACCCAAGATTTGAGATAATTTGACACGATGTTGTTGAGCCCTTGCTACTTGAAGTCGATCAGATCTATCACCTTTCTTACTCTGCTTCTCTGTTAATTACAAACACAATCCAGTCAATACATTCAGATTGGGGCACGCTTCTTGCTAACAAGCACCAGTGAGGAGATAAGTTGAAGAACGAGGGAGATGGCAGCGAAGATTGATGTCGCTGCTAAAATGATATTGGCGTTGGAGGTGGGTTTCAATGAGAAAATGGGTGGCGGAGCAGGAGGACCACGATGGAGACGATGGAGGTGGGAGCTAAGAGTTTCTTCTGGGTTTTTTCTTTGTATGGTTTTCCCTATTTGTTCTAAATGAAGATTCAGTATCAATTCATGGTAAAATTGATTTTGATTTTATAAAATCGAGAGAGAGAGAGAGAGAGAGAGAGAGAGAGAGAGAGAGAGAGAAAGAAAGAGATGGATTAGAGAGAGAGGGAGAGAGAGAGAGAGAGAGAGGGGGGGAGAGAGAACAGAGAGAGAGAAATTTAATTTTAATTTTTTTTTTTTTAAATCTGAAAATCAGAAAAACAATTAAGAAAAAAAGAAAATTCATATTCACAGGGGCAAATCCATCATTTTGAAAAAAAAAATCATAATAGATTGGACCAAACAAGTAACAAAATGAAAACTTTGGACCTCTGGTGCTAGCCCAAACTTTTTTGGACCAAAATGGCAATTTTTGACAAACCACAGGGACCATTTGTGCAGTTTTGTCTTTTTAGATTAATATTTGTATAATAATATTTTATATTTAATATTTGTAACTTGAGATATTATATTATAAGGTAAAGTCATATTAAGTTATTGTGTATTTTAACTTTAATTTTTAAGTTTCAAAGTTATCTAACATTAGTATTTAGTTTTTAGATGGTTTCCTTCAAAAAAAAAAAACTCAAACTTTTTTCAATGGTTAAATAGATAAGAAAACTTCCTTCAAATGGTGAAGCCAAACAAATTTCCAATTATAATGGTTTTCAACCTTTTATTTACTTCTTTCTAAAAAGATAAAAACAAACTCTCGCTACAGTAATCTTAAAAAAAAATTAATAACTTTTAATAAAATAATGACTAAAGTTATGATTATATAATATATATATATTACTAAAGTGATTGTGCAGGCCAAAACTCCAAAGTCCAAAGTCCAAACAGTAAGGCCGAAGCCTGTTGCATGTTCTGTGCTAAAGCCCACTAGATCTGTAAACGACGAGAAGATTTGGCTAACGCGTCAAAAACCGTCCGTATATTATCAAAAAATTAAAATTTAGGATTTTCTTTTAAATCTTAAAAATATTAAGATTTTAGTGTATATGCCATATTATTATAAAAAGTCTAGTTTGTGTTTTGTACATTTTTTCAGAAACTATATTACGTCAGTTAATTGATTTAATAGTTAAAAAAAAAATTAAAAATCTTTAGATTAGTACTATGGACTTTCCATTATTACGGTTCCAATCCTATCCTCAAAATGACTTTAATTAATATTTCAGATCTGTTTTCAGGTATTAAATGTATATAATTACGTGTTATATATATATATATATATATATATATATATATATATATATATATATATATATATATATATATATATATATATATATATATATATAGTATTAAAACCTTAAATTTTGAGACATGGTATCATTATTATCGCATGAGGTTGGAAAACCAAAAAGACAACACTGTACAAATAGCCCGTGTGATTAGCTTATAATTGTCATTCTGATCCAAAAATGTTTCAGTTAGTACTAAAATCCAAACTTTTCATTTTGTTACGAATTTAATCCATTTTAATATTAAAAGAATTTAAAATGACCTTTTTGCCTTTGTTATTTTCTTTTTATTTCCTTAATAACTTTTTGGGCTAATGGCACAAAAACCCTTAAATTTGCACAAAATTGATGGATTTGCCCAAAGTTCAAATTTAGGTCCATTTTTACCTTAAACTTGCATTTATTGTGTCGTTTTCGCCAAGTAGTCGGTTTCCCTTTAATCAACCGGTTACCCACTTGCTTAGGTGGAAGGCTAATTAACGTCGTTTGGAAAAATCTCCAATTCCGTTAGATACGTTAAACTGTCGCATCTCATCTCCCTCTATAACCCGATCACTCTTCACCTTTTCCCATTTCATCGACTCTATACATAGAGAAGAAAAGGGTTTTCTTGGAGACAATTAGGTTAAAAGTGTTCTTCAACATTTCTTCGAAAGGTAAGGTTTTTACAGGTTGATTGAAATTACGTTTGCATTCAACATTTCTTAAAATGTGTTCCTAAAGTTAGTGTGTTAATGCAGGAGGGTGTAATGGCTTCATCAGACGAAGGGTACGCTGACCCCTTTGCTGGCATACATGAGCCATTTGCTGGCTTGACTGAAATGGATTTTGAACTCCATGGCATTTACATGGACCACGAACCAGAGGAAGAATTTGTGTCCTCACTTGATAAATATAAGGATATCTTCCTAAATGTTCTATTAAGTGATGAAAACCTACGAAATTCTAGTATGGCAGATGAAATCAGAGCACAAGTATACCATGCTACTGATTGGCAGAGTGATGAAGATGAACATGATGTATTGAAAAACAACTATAGAATTCATGACCCAACCATCAAGTGGGACAAGATGGTACCAAAGCTTGGTGACATCTTTGAATCCCCTGCCCAACTGAAGTTTTGTGTCACCAATTATGCAGTCTCACATGGCTATAGAATATACTTTGAAAAATGTGATAGTAAAAGAATTGTAGTTAGATATGGAAATAGGAAGGAAGAGAATAAATGCCCTTTCAGAATTTATGTTGCATGGATGTACAAAGAAAGATCTTTTCAGATCAAAGCTATGAATAGTGACCATAAATGTTCTAGGCAGTTTAAGTTTGGATCCATTATGTCCCCTGAATGGATTGGAAGACATTATGTGATTGAAATTGCAAATAAGCCAAAGATGAAACTTCAGGAAATGATTGACGACATCAGATAAAGGTATAGGTGTGTGGTATCTATAGGACAAGTTAAAAGGGAAAGGAAATGGGCCAAAAATTTAATAGAAGTTAAACTCACTGAGCATTATGCAAGTATATGGGATTATGCCCATGAATTGTTAAGGTCAAACCCGGGGTCCACATGTGAAGTTGGTGTAACAACCACTCCAGATGGAAAGAATTATTTTCACAGGTTTTACATTTGTTTCAAAGCACTAAGTGTTAGCTGGAAAAGAGGATGTGGGAGAGTAATTGGGCTAGATGGGTGCTTTCTAAAGGGGCAGGTGAAGGGTGAACTGCTAACAACCATTGGTAGATATGCCAACAACCAGGTTTATTCAATTGCTTGGGTTGTTGTTGATGTGGAAAATAAGTCCAATTAGACTTGGTTCCTTGAGCTACTCAGTGGTGATCTAGACCTTATTGATGGAAGGGGGTTGGTAGTTATATCAAATCAACATAAAGTAAGTTTCTTTATAACATATTAATCCTTTTTCAAATTACTTATAAATACTTACATGTATGTTGGTTTTTGTATAGGGTTTGTTGCAATCTGTTAAAGATATATTGCCGCATGTGGAGCACAGGCAATGTGCCCGACACATATATGCAAATATTAGAAAAGCTTACACTGGGTTGGAGTTCAAGAAGCTATTTTGGGCTGCAGCTATGAGCTGTGTGGAAGGTGATTTCAAGAGACATATGGACAAAATTAAAAATCTCAATACTGGTGCATATGAGCATTTGATTTCCAAAGAACCCCAAACATGGTGTAGAGCTTACATGAGTACAAGGTATGCATGTGAGGCAGTGGAGAATGGTATATCAGTGTGCTTCAACTCCATCATTGTGGATGCTAGGAAAAAACTATTGATCACAATGCTTCAAGAAATAAGGATATACATCATGGATAGGTTTGCTCACATGATTGAGGAAAGCACTAGATGGAATACCCGTATATGTCCAGCATTGTTAAAGAAGATGAAGCTTTTTGGGAAGAACATGAGGTAACACTTTAACATGTAACTTTTGTTTTAATTTCATTAGGTAACACTTTAACATGTAACTTGTGGATGTAGGTTTTGGTTAATATATCATAGTCAACAACATGTGTTTGAATCAAGGAAAGGATGTGATAGCTACATGGTGGATTTAGATGGAAGGCATTGTACCTGCAGGTTATGGGATTTGGCTAGGATCCTATGTGTTCATGCCATTGCAACCATCAACTATATCCATCAAACACCTGATGAGTATATTGATGACATGTTTTCCAAGGAACAATTTCTTAAGTGTTACTCTGCTAACATTAGTCCAGTGAATGGTTCAAATCTATGGCCTCAAACTGAATACATAAAGCCCTTACCACCAGTGTCAAGGAGAATGCCTGGTATGCCAAAGGTCAATAGAAGGAGACATGTAACTGAAAATGATGGAAGATTACACACCCTAAGAAGTGTAAGGTGTGGTAAGTGCTTTGAGTATGGCCATAACCAGAAGGGATGCCAGAATGCAACCAGGGAACCTATCCCTATGCCACCAAAGAAGAAAGGAAGGCCAAGGAAGGAACAATGTGAACCCAATCAAGCATCATGTGATAGGTCTGAGAGGTAGGAACCTGTCCCTATGACACCAAAGAAGAAAGGAAGGCCTAGAAAGGAACAATTTGAACCCAGTCAAGCATCATGTGATAGGTCTGAGAGGCAGGAAGCAGTTCCTATGCCACCAAAGAAGAAAGGAAGTCCAAGGAAAAATGTCCATTCTGACCCAAATCAAGCATCAGGTTCTAAATTTGTTAAACGCAAAAATGATGGTTTAGATGGTCATGTTGAAGGTAGGGGATGTGAGGAACAAGTGAAAGATTTGTTTGAAAATGAAGATATTGATGATGACAGTCTGGTTGATATGATGTGCACTTTTGAAGCTTCTCTTAGCCAACCAAAGGATAATTATCAGAAAAGTGATGGATTCCAAGATGAAATGGATGCTATTATTTAAAGTATTCTTCATGTTAATGATGACAAATGTGTTGAGGAAGTTGAATCTGACCTGGCAAAAAAACTTGATGAGGTTGAAGATGCAATGGATGCTATTCTTAAAGGTACAGATGAAAAAAGTCAGTCTGAGAATGAGGGTAATCCTGAACCTGAATTCACTGAAGGAAATGCAAGTGATGTTCTCCCAGAGATGGTGATGCTAGATCTAGAAAGTGTAGCAGACCAACTTGGGGCAGGATATAGCATGGCTGAAATAGAGAGCTTGAGAGGGTTTAAAGTTGAATTGGATGATATGCCAGCAGTTGAGATGGTTAGTTTGACTCTATCATTTTATAATTGCTAACATTAGTAACAAACATGTTTATATCTTTTATTAATAAGTATTCTTCAAATTTTTATTAACAAGATGTGAATGAAGTTGAGGACGGAAATGAAGATGATGGTCTTATAAATGATGGTGTGGAGGAAAATGAGGGTGATGGTGAGGGTGATGATTTTGATGAAGTAGCAGGTGAGGGTGATGGTGAGGTTGATGGTGATGGTGTTGGTGATGGTGATGGAGAGGGTGAGGATGATGGAGAGGGTGATGGTACTGGTGAGGATGATGCAACAAATATGGAGGGAAATGATGCTGATGATGAAGGTTATATACCACATAGAAGGACAAGAAAGCCCTCAGAAAGGATCATCCTGCAAAAGCTGAAGAAACCTTGTTTTGACAAAGATGGAAGGGGTTCCACATCTAGCTATCCAGTAGATTTGGAGTAGTTACCTAGGTATATGGGGGGAAAAGTAGGGATGGTATCATTGGGCAATTGTATAGGTAGCCCTTTTTGGTTATTTTTTGATATACACCCACTACTTGCAGCATACATCCATTTGTTTAGTGTTACATTATTGCTTGCCTTTTTTGGATATTGTTTAGGCTTTTGGGTACATGTTTTGGTATACAAAATGGATGGCTGTTACATGCTAGTAAAACTTATGTAATGGATACTTTATATTAAGGTTTATAATGGATGCCCCCTATTATGGTAACCATGATGTTTTTATTTTCTTTTCTAGTACATGTTAAGCATTAGCAATGTACTTTCATTAGTGCAATTCCTTGTATGCAAGTTATTGCAATTCCATTCATGCAAAGTTTACTTTCATTGTGAATGTAACCAAGGGTATTTTAGTACAATTCCTTTTATGCAATGTACTTTCATTGTACTTCCATTCATGCAACATATACATGAGATAGCAATTAACTACCATTAATACCCTTAATACATTACAAACATGCAACATTCAACCGTATGCAAGTTAGTGCAATTCCATTAATACCATTCATGCAATTCCATTAATACCATTAGTGCAACATTCAGCCATATGCAAAGTAAGATAGCAATTAACTACCATTAATAACATTACCATTAATACCCTTAATACATTAGTGCAATTCCATTCATGCAAAGTTTACTTTCATTGTGAATGTAACCAAGGGTATTTTAGTACAATTCCTTTTATGTAATGTACTTTCATTGTATTTCCATTCATGCAACATATACATGAGATAGCAATTAACTACCATTAATAACATTACCATTAATACCCTTATTGCATTACAAACATGTAACATTCAACCGTTCAAAAAAAACATTATAAAGATGTAACAATTCTTGATTATCCTTAATATATTACTAATACAGGAAAACCAACAAAACTACATATTAATAACCACTATTCCTAGCATCAGCGATATAACCACTAACAACCCTATGATCACTTCTAACAATGGCTTGATCTCCTCTGTATGACACATCTCCATATTTTGACCTAGTTCTTCATCCGCCCATTTGAAAAAACCACAGTTGCCTCCTTCCACCTACAACAAAAAAAAAATTAGGGTTCTATTACATAAGTTCCTCTTTGGGAAGTTAGAGCAGCCCTAAAATTTTAGGGAGAAATTAGTACAAAAATAAATAGATTTTTACCTGATAATTAGGGCAGCCCCAAAATTTTCGTCCTGGATTATCAGGTGTTCGTGAGACTGATACACCACAAACATCACCATAGTCGCATCTTATTACCTTCTTGTTCCTCATTCTTGTACCACCATTAAAGCTTGATCTTGAAGACGAAGTTGCCATTTTTCCGTTTTAGTCTGTGACTAACTGTGGGGATCGAAGGGATCAATTGCACACAAGGATGTCTGTGAAAGAGTTATTAAATGATAAATAAAGTATCTTCCACCTAAGCAAGTGGGTAACTGGTTGATTAAAGGGAAACCAACTACTTGGCGAAACGGCACAATAAATGCAAGTTTAAGGTAAAAATGGACCTGAATTTGAACTTTGGGCAAATCCGACAATTTTGTGAAAATTTGAGGGTTTTTGTGCAATTAGCCCTTACTTTTTAATTAAACAATCTCTCTCTCTCTCTCATTTTCATCTTTTCCAAGAATCTGAAAACTTAAATTGCAATTTGAAATATGAATCTTCATCTTCTTCAAAATGTTGGAAGCTACCGCCGCCCTTCTCTCCCTCTCTTTCATATCTGCTAACCTTTCTTTCACTCTCTCCCAAATTAGCAAACCCTCTAAACCCACCATTCTACTTTGAAACCATGGAAAATAAGAACAATAGTCGTGCATCTGATCGATTAGAGAAGAATCGTGATGGGGGTGGAGTTTGATGAACAGGGACAACCTCTTCTTTATGTATCCCGAACTCCAATCTTCTTGTTAGGATTATGAGCAGTCACAGTGAAATTGAATTTAGAGTTTAACTGCTTTGATGAGATTAGGTTAAACTAAGAAGCCTTGAGCGATGAAATGACGAACGAAGGGCAACGAGGGCGGTAGAGGACATAAAATACACCGTCGACGATGGCAACGATGATGATCAGAAGGAGGATAACGAAAGTAATCCAGAGGCAACAAGACCAACACCAACTACAACATTTACATATGGAATTAGGCTTAACAATGGCTCTCTGGACTCGATTTGTAGAAATTATTTGAAGAAATTTTCTTGAAAATATGTGTAAATCCTTGTGGTTGATGGAGTAGAGAATGAGACAGAAAAGGATAGCAACCCTGTAACCAATGCATATGCATCAGGTTTATTGGTTTAATTTCTACTCCAATTAATAAATTCGTTAGTGAAAAGATACCCTTTGAAAGATCTGGTAACGAGAAGAAAGAAAAAGTCAATAATTAGGACATGAATGTTCCTAAATATGGCGAATCACAGGAAATTAGACACCCTTTTGGTCCAACCAGATCAAGTAATCTGCTTCATTCTTATGTATTGATCAATTTCAGTTTTGAGTTATGATATTCAATTGGATTTAGAAAGAATTTATGGTTTATCATTTTTCATGGAAGATGCTTCATTCTTTATGTATTGATCAATTTCAGTTTTGAGTTATGATATGTAGTTGGATTTAGAAAGAATTTGTGGTTTATCATTTTTCATGGAAGATACGATGGGAATGGGTGGGGAAGACGATGGGGTTGGGAAGAAGAGAGGATGGTTGGGTGTTAAGAAGAAGATGAAGTTCATGTGTTGAGAGAGAGACAGAGAGAGAGAGAGAGAGAGAGAGAGAGAGAGATTTAATTTTATTTTTTACTTTTCTATTCTTTTAAATTTGAAAATTGATAAACAATTAAGAAAAAAAATCATATTAACATGGGCAAATCTATCATTTTGAAAAAAAAAAAAAAAACAAAACAAACAAACAAACAAACAAACAAATGGGACCAAACAAACAACAAAATCAAAACTTTAGACCTCTAGTGATAATCCAAATTTTTTTGGACCCAAATGATAATTTTAAGCAAACAACAAAGACCATTTATGCAGTTTAGTCAACTAAAAAATTCTAAGATAATTGAAAGGCCCATAAAGATTTTGATGATGCTTCATGGATAATAGATTTTCATTGAAAAAAAGAAGGCCAATATGGACAATGATTTGTTTTAGGTAAACATTAAGGTAAAGATCTGATGTATTTTTTGTTAATGGTAAAAGGGTGTCATTTAGGCGTCATATTAGTTTTTATATTTTTTTACAAAATTTACCTCCAAACTAGAGTGTGATAATGATTTTTCCTATGATTTTTTTTTAATTTCAATAGATAGACACGCTCCACCGAACTATGACAAACAATGAGTCACCCTTTGCTACCTTTGCTTAGAACCATTTAGTGTGTCGGTTAACCACACACGCTCCACTAACGTCTTCGCAAGGGCACAAAGTGTAACAATACTCTACAACCTAGAAGAGGGATGCCGTAATCTAGTTGCATAATATTTGAAGGTAGGTAAATGACGATTTACCAATTTCCACCATGAAACAAGAAAAAGAAATTTAAGTTTTAAATCTATTGAAAATTCCTAGAGCTTTTGAGATTCATTGAACATTTCAATGGTATGTTTAAATCTCGATATGCCCCTCGATTTGTGAATAGGATGCTGATGATCACAAAACAGGGTGTGAATAACCATGCAAACTTACATGGTGCCCCCAATGTTACAATCAACTATTTGATGTGCCGGTTAACCACACACGCTCCACCGAACTATGACAAACAATGAGTCACCATTTGCTACCTTTGCTTAGAACCATTTAGTGTGCCAGTTAACCACACACGCCCCACTAACGTCTTCGCAAGGGCACAAAGTGTAATTTCATTGAATTGCATCAATTCACTTTTGCCTAAAGTAACTAAGATTGGGAATTTTGTAAAAGAATTTAGTTACTTTTGTACTTCATTATACTTATAATGGAAGGTTTTTGTCCTATCATACCCGTTCGGCTAACGACCCTCTACTAGTCAAGAGTGCGGTGGGTAAGAGTGGATACCCATTCAATCGTCATTTTATAGGCAATTTCCTTAAACACCCCTTATAGATTAGCTTCGTTAATGAGGCCTACTAACGGTAAGACTGACTGTTTACTCATACATATATAATACTAGACTTATAATGTTATATATAGTATAGGGTGTATT